CATCAAGCATAAAAATCATCACCTTATTGTAGTTGTTTATTCTTTTGATTTTTTGTTGTTATCACTATGCTTCAATAAGAGTAGTGCTCAATTTGATTTATTTATTATTTCATTGTCTGACCCTAAGTCTGGGTCTAACATTAAGCAGCCAATTATTAGTAATTGAATGAATAAGTATGGAAATGAATAAAGGGAAATATAAAGTTCTGTAAGAGAAGTGTAACTGGGATCTAGAAATCAACAAAACCCAAAAAGATTGAAGAAGTCTGTGGTTTGAGAGAACCATAGAAAGCACTACATTCTAAGAAATCATATGAGGAAGAATGGACATTGGTATGGTAGTGACAAGGCTACCCAATTGTGTTTTTGGATGTTGGAAACCCTGGGAAATTTGGAAATTTACCTACATGGAGGGAGGCATAACTAAGAATGCAGAATAACTTAATGACAGGGAAAACATTCGTATTTGATAAGGTAATAAACATGGAATATTTCAAATATTTAGTTCAACATCTGGAACCTTTACAAAGAAAGTTATTGTATGCTTAAAGTCTGCTCTTTTAGACAGTCATCTTCTTCATGTGGTGCTAGGGCATCAACAATCCATGGACCTCACATACCAAACACATCATCAAGTCACTTCCCCAGGCCCAGAGAAAAAAGTTAGTGTGAAGCAAGATTGAGAAGTTCTCTTTTCCTATTCTAATCCTGGAGCAACAAGAGCCCATCTTTCTTCAGTGTTTGAATTGGAAGAAGACTTTTGTTTTTTTAACTGTAGTTAACACGGAGGATGCCAGAAAGCATAAGTTTACAGGCTCCATAATTTGATGATTAAGTCTAAAATATGCTTCTATGTCTCCAGTGCAAAGCACTAATAAAGTTCTTTAACTTGTCTAAACCTCAGTTTTCTTCTCTCAAAATGTTTCCTTATCTTTAACTTTTTTTTTTGGAGATAATCCATGAACTAATTTCTTCCTCCAAGCCTGCCACAGGAAGAAGTAATATAATTCAGTACTTGACTCACAGTAAACATTCCCTGAAAGTCCTTATTATTTTCACACTATCACTTTGTATTTCATACATATTATCATACTTCTTTTTATTATTTAGTATTCACATTTTCTATTCTAAGGTAGAAGATTCAGCAAGAGTTATGTGCCCTTGTTAAATTAGTTTTCTGATTGTGGATTTTGATTAAATGTCACGTAAGATTCAAAGAAGAAACAAATAATCAGAAAGTCAAGATGTTATACCACAAAAGAAACAGAGAACATAAATGGGGGAATTTTACCATTTGTGTCACTGACTAATTTACTTGAAGGACTGTGAGACATTCAGAAAAACTTGATACTTTGTGAATTAGTAAGAGAGATAACTCATTTGATCAAATATTCAAAGATGACAAATCAACCAATGTTCTCTCTTCATTTGAGACAAATATGAGTCACACAGCCACACTAACACTGGGATGGCAGATTTATATGCAGAGCCCATTCAACCTCACAGTTGAACCTCATCTGGGGGAACATACAGATGGATCAGCAGAAGCATACTCTGGGTCAGGCAATTGGAAAGCCATAAAAAGAAAAAAAAGGTTGGGACCCAGAAGAGCAAGGGAAATGGAGTTTGGCTCTGACAAATATGTTTATTTTTCCCAAGTCAAAATTCCCAAAAGATGTGATTAGCTTAGCCACAGGTCAGTGAACATCAGTGTAAGAGAGTCCAATGGTTGTACTGAGCAGAGTCCATGCCACCAATGTTTATTGTAATAAGAAGATGACATCTTCTTGTGGGAGAGAAATACATTTAAGGAAGACTCAGCCTGTACTTAGGGGTATGAAGAGAGGATTTCAGGCAAATGGGAATAGATCAAGTAGGAACTATAAAGGGAAATAGCATGGAAATCACATTGATTGAGCTACAGGAAGAAACCATTTTTCATTAGGCAGGATGAAATAGAAACAAGGTATAAATGTGACTTAATATAAGGATAGAACATAGTTCAAGAGAATACCCTCACAGAAGCTGAACTTCATCCTTATTGTATCAGACAGTGTATGATTTTGATAGAACAATTACCAAGTGCCAATGATATGTTAGGAATTTCTCACCTCCCAATTCTTCACAGATAAACTTCTCATCATTATATGAACTGGCTCCAAATATAGGGGCATAGACCAAAGTTTCCACCCATAAGAAAGGTCAAGTGGAGAGCTGAAAAAAGGTGCAATGAACAGAAACAAAACAGCAATTAAAAATCTCGATAGTCTAAGTTAGCATTATTAGACCTATATCCTACAAGTTAATATCAAGTTATTGGCTGAAGAGAAGGAGATGACAACAACTATTATCTAACTATCTTGTGCTCTGAGTGTTAGGGATATTTTTTAATAATTTGGATATTTTACTGCAACATTATATGATTGCATATAATGTAATTACAGCTTCAACTGTTTCTACATACACTACCATAACCTATGAAAAAGTAGTTT